ACACACGAGACATACACATGAGAGACACGCAGGAGACATTCACCCAACACAAACCCCCTCCCACACTTTTAGTCAGCTTTACCCAGAACTGGACATCAATGAACAGGGAATGACAAAGGTCTCCTGACTTCACTCGAGGTCATCTCCTGTCTGTGGCAATGGCCTGAATTGCCTTCCAGACAGCTTCATTTCCTCCTTTGTCAAACGATGGGTCAGACAGGCTTTACAGGAGTTGGTTATGAAGTGCTTCCAAGAACCTCTGTGTGAAAGCAAGGGGAGGAGAGCACAAGAAGAGAGCCTCATTTAGTTAAGAGAAGCCTTGACAGTGACCAAAAGAGCCTGGATCTGAGATCCATCTCTACCCCCATCTTGTGTAGTGACCTCCAGCAAGTCATTCTCCTGCCTAGGCCTTAATTACCTAACCAATAAAAGGAGGAGGTTGAACTGATCACTAGATGGCCTTTAATGTCTCTTCTAGCTCAGATGTTCTGTGTTCTAATCTCATATCTAATGATATTAGAGCTATTTAACACAGAGATAGCATTAACAATGAGCCCCTTCCTTCCAGACCTCAGAGCTATTCCTTCCTTCACTGCTGCACCCAAACACATTCCAGTTCCCGATCCTTAAAAATCCTTCCCTTACTGATAAGGAAATGTTTTACACGATTGCACATGCATAAGCTATATCTGATTGTTTACCATAGTCTCCGGGAAGGGGGAGGGGAAGGAGGAAGGAAAGGATAGAATGTGGAACCCAAAACTTTTTTTTAAATGTTAAAAATTATTTTATCATGTAATTGGGGGGAAATGAAATATTTTATATTTAAAGAAATACAAAATAATTCAAACTAACCATTAGAAGAAATCTCTTAACCTTGCCCTCTCTTGGAGCTATCAGCCTATAACTCTCCTCCTTATTCACTGCAAAACTCACTCGATTGGGAGTCGAGACAAACTAGGTTCAAGTACCATCTCTGCCACTTCCTCCCTGTGTGACTTCGGGTAAGTCATTCCTCTTCTCTGGGTCTCAGCTGTCTCTGTCAAAGGGACCACATGATCTCTGAAGTCTCAGATTCTGATTACCCTAGAAAGAGTCCCCTACATCTGTTGCCTGCATTTGCTTCTCACTCATTTACTCCTCAACCCCTTGTAATCTGACTTCTAATTCTACCACTGTCCAGAAATTGTTTTTCCAAAGGTCACCAAGGTCTTTTAATTGGGAGGCAGCTAGGTGGTGCAGTGGACAGAGTGCTAGGATTGAAGTCAGGAAAACCTGAATTCAGAAACTTAGTAGTTGTATGACCCTGGATAATCTCTTTCAGCCTCAGTTTGCTCATTTGTAAAATGGGGATAATAATAATAGCGCCTATCTCACAGGGTTCTTGTGAGGGTCAGATGGGATAGCATATGTAAAGCATTTTGCAAATGTAGCTATTATTAGGATTATTGCTAAATTCTATAACTTTTTCTCAGTTCAAACTCTGCTTGAGCTCCCTGTAGCATGTTATACCACTGGCCCTCCCCATCTCCTTGGACACTCTTTCTTCCTTGGGCTCCCACAACACTGTCTTCCTATCCGTTTGGCTACTCCTCTACCTCTTCTGTTAGGTCACTGCCTTCCTCCCATCATCTAAGTGTGGGTGTTCCCCTAGGCTCTGGCCTCTGGCCTCATCCCTCATCTTTTTACAATCTCTCCCTTGGTGATTTGTCTCTTTCCCCAGAATAAATTTTCACCTTTAGGAAGATTTTGCCCCAGCTCCAAGTCTAAATCTCTAAATACTTGTTGGACATCTCTACTTACATGTTTGCCTCAATGGCCCCTTGATGTCCCAAACCTGAACTCATTATACTAACATGCCACTCCTACCAACTCCCCTATTTCTATTGATGGTACCGCCATCCTCCAAATCACTCAGATTCTTCCCTCTCCCTCTCCTCATATCTAATCAGCTGATTCTATTGCTCTCACCAAATTTCTGTTCTCTGGCCCCTTCCATTCACTCACACAACCACAACCTGAGCTGCATCTTCCATCACCTCTCACCTGGACTACTGCTATAGTATTCTTATTGGTTTCCCCATTGCCCATCTCTCCCTTCTCCAATCCACCCTCCATATAGCTATCAAAATAGTTTTCCTAATGCACAGGTGGGGCCATTCCATTCCCTTGATCAAAGACCTTTGAGGGCTCTCTATTGACTAGGGGATAAAAAGTAAAACAGTCTGGACCCCAAGACTTTCCACAATCTGGTTCCAACCTACCATTCCAGGCCCTTTTCACATGACTCCCCTCTGAGGATTCTAGCTCAGAATGGACCACTAGCTGTTACAGAATCGCAGAACCTGAGGTCTGGAAGGGACTCCATTGGCCATCCAGTTCAATCTACGAATGAGGGGAATGCCACTTTCACACACCCTGAACAGCAGCATTCCCTGAATTCAATATGCCATTTCATCAAGTCAGAGAAGAGACTTTAGAGACAGATCATCTAGTTCAATCCCTTCATTTTTACAGGTGAGGAAACTGAGGCCCAAAGAGGGGAGGCCATTTGCCTGATATCATACCAGTGAAAAGTGGCAGAGGCAGGGTTCAAGCTCAATCTACTGACTCCAAATTGAGCGCCCTCTTCACTATATCCTCCCATGGCTCCCAATCAATAAATTACCGCATTTCCTACTTTTGTGCATTGATTTGCATGGACTAGACCAAAACCTGGAACATATATCCTCATCTCCACCTGAAAAACTCCTTTTATTTCTCCAAGTATGGGCTCAAGTGCCACTTGATCAATGAAACTTCTCCTGTTCCACCTGTCCCCGCCCCCAGCTGTAAGGGCTCTTTCCCCCTCACATTTTCATGGAGCACACTGTCTGAATTTCTCTTTTGCCCCTTCAAAGTCTACCTTGTGTCCTATTTCTCTCTTCCTGTGGTCTCCTGTCCCCCCTACTCCAACCCTGTAGGCTGTAAGGCGTGTGTGGGGTCAGAAATGACATCATTTTGTCACCTTTAGATTTTCAGTGCCCAGCAAGGGCCTGATAATGTTGAAATGAACTCTATGTTCTAAAATCTCTTCCAGTTTTGACATTATCTAATCTATGTTCTAAGATGGAGGGTTTATAACCTGGGTTCTATAAGCTGGTTTTCTGTTTTTATATTTTGACAACCATATTTCAGCATAACTGGTTTCCTTTATAAACCCATGTATTTTATTTTACACATTTTAAAATGTTATTTTAAGAAGAGGTCAGGTTTAACCAGACTGCCAAAGGGGTCCATGACATAAAAATGGTTAAGAACCCCTTCTCTAGGGGATCAGAGGATCACCACCTCCACTTGCAACCATGGTAGGGATGGAGGCAGGGCAGGTCTATCCCAGAGTCAGTGACTTCTAGGAGGCAGAGCTCTAACCAGACACCAGTCTGGTTATCTATACTGGCCCAAATTCACCACATAATTCCTCCTTTATTGGCAAGAACTATCCTTTAAGGCACATAGAGCAAGTCCTTCACATTTGTGTGTGCAGTGGCAATGTTATTATTCCCACTTTACAGATGAAGAAACTGAAGCCAGAGAGGAAAAATCTCTCTCCCTCTCTGTCTCTCTCTGTGTGTCTCTCTCTCCCCAAGTTATCAGAATAGTGACTAAAACTCAGGCTGAATCCAAGGCCAATGATGTTTAAACAGTGCTCCTTATAAGTCACCTCTTAGAATTTGTGGTTAGAGGGGGAATTGGTGGGGAAGTGTGGGGTATGATGGGGAGGTGGATATGGTGTGTGCTTCAGAGGGTCAGGAACTGCCCTTTTTAGCCGTGTAGAAGGTACCATTCAGCTTATCACAGTGGTGCCCTCTTTCCCCAGACCTGGGTCCGAGAGGAGGAGCCTCTGACCGGGCTTTGAGCTCAGAGCTGGATTAACCAAGAAACAGGAGGAGTTGGGGGAGGATGTCCTTCCTGGACCTCAAGGTCTGTTCCTGGTACATGGTAAGGGAAGGTCACTTCCTTGAGGGAAAGTTCTGGGATGCTCACAGCTCCTGACTTTGACCCCACCAAGCCCTGATGTAATAATGAGCTTTCTCAGCACCTCCCCCAGCATTAAACTCCCCATTGGGCATGTGTTGGAGGAGACTTGGCATGTTCTCCTTCACAAGGTTCAGGGGAGGCCCCTACCCCCTCACAGACCATCTGCTTTCCTTGCTGAAACCTGAGGCTGATCTGAGGCATCTGATTGCAGCTGCCCGGCGCCCGCTTGGCTCCGGAAACTCAGGCCTCACCACCTGCCAGGCCGGAGACGGGTCTGGGCACCTGGTCGCCAGTGGGGCCTAGGCCACTGGGTTGGGGGAGTCAAAGGGAGGGAGGGAGGAGGAGAGAGTTGGTATGTGTCTCTGTGTGTATATAATGTTTGATCACGAAAGGTGAGTATATATATGTATATATATATACACACATATATACATGTATGTATGTATAAGTGTTTTCATATAAAGGATCTGTAATTTAGATCAAGAAGGGCCCTTAGAGATCACCTCCAACCCCTCTGTTTACAGATGAAGAAACTGAGGCTCAGAGACATGTAATAACTGAGCTGAAACCCCACAGGTAATAACCAGTAGAACCAGGATTCAAACTCAGTTCCTCTAATCCCAAATTGGGCTTTGGGCACTGCATACTGTGGGCTTTGGGCACTGCACAGAGACATCTATCTGAGGGTACAAGGCCCTTTACCTGGGGAGTGGGACTTGAGGAGGGAAAGGCCAGAGCAGTTCTGGGAAAAGGCCCAGCCCCAGCTTAGCTGACCTCCCTGTTGCTACGGCACATGGAGCCCTGACGCATGTCTCCCTTACTCGGGGCCTCAATCCATCCCAGAGCCTGCCCACATCGGCCGGCAGTGGCTCGTGCCAGATATCAATTACCTGCCGCAGTGTTTCCTGGGGACACTAATTAACTGTGGGTGCTTGATGAGGCCTCCTGGCTCATCCATTACTCACTGAAGGCTCCCGGCCTTTCTCCAAGGGCTAGGCAGTTTGCTTCCCAAAGGTCCCTGATGGAGGGGGTCGGGGTCCCGAACTAGCCCTAGCTTGTCTGTCTGCCACTTTCCCCTAACCCCATTTTGTCACCCCCTTCCCAAAGGACAGTCAGCCTCTCAGGAGCAACAACCCGGCCTTGTCCCAGCTGCCACACAAATTCACACAGCAGGAAAAGTCCTTAGAAATCATCTACCCTCCAGCCAAACAATTCTACTTACTGTTCCTCACATACAAC